GCGTGCGTCAAAAGCTGCCCCTTGCCTCGCAGCGCGCACCGAGTCTCTGACCCAGCAAAGGCGTGATACCACAGGGAAATGATCATCTTGCTTCCGTATGAAATCCACCTCATGCAGAACTGCCACCTCACTCATGGCTTTGAAAAGTTGGTGGTCTGCTATGAGAAAATCAATTATATGCTTGCTTCCCGTTTTGTTAGCTATGAAAGTGTAATCCGCTTCCTCCCCAAGGAAGGTGTTGGCAGCAACAAGCTTGTGATCATTAAGCCACTCCTTCAACCTCGCACTGCCCGCAGAAGAAGAGCCAATCGTGCCCTTGGTTCCTGCCACCTCACACCCTTCGTCTCCAACAAGGTGGCAGTTGCCATCCATAAAGCACAACTGCGGGGGCCACTTGTTGCACACAGCGTCTAAATCCTTCCAAAAACTGTTTTTTTTTCTCCGGCCGAGTTAGCCGAATGAGGCACGTGGGCCACTAGAACATTGAGGTTGACCCCTGGAGCGTCTATTCTGCATGCTAGCAAACGCGGTGCAGCCCACAAGATTCGCATCTGCTGTGCACTGAAGGTTATCGGCTTTCCCTTGGACGCACCATAGGGGGATCCCACGTTGATCCATAGCCCGACACCGAGCGCAAAGTCCTGGTGTCCTGCTGCAAAGCACACCCAATCTCCTGCCCTCCTGGTGCCCTTTTCGTTCCTTCCCTCCTGAATTCCCATGATGTGTATGCCGCTCCTATACATCTGAGTGCGGAGCGCCGCAGCACGGCGTGCTCGATTTCTTCCCTCCGAGCCCCGCCGAAAGGCATGCCGCAGGCTTTGCACGTTAAAAGTGGCAACACGCATGTCTACAGCAACCTGCAACTTGCTGGTCCTGATGTCGCTTGCGTGCGGCTCTCGAAAATCCCCTGCCTGGGCAACTGGCTTCAAGCCTGAGAGGCTCACGCACTCGATGTCATACACAACGCTGGGGTACGCATGAGAGTCCTCTCTCGCATCCAGGACCCATTCCCACAGGCGTGAGATTTCAATCCTAATGGCTTGGATGACTCTCCACGGTAGCTCGGGCGCCACAGGCAAAAGCTGTCTCGCTGTGGCTGTAGCCACATTGTCTGCTAAAACATTCCACGGATGGCCAGCATGGGCCTTGACATGGGCGAGCTCCAGTGAGCACTGCTTGGAGGCCAAGTCCCAAACAACCTGCACAAGCTGAGCAATTTTCCTGTCTGAATTTGGCAAGTTTTGCCCAAGCGCTGCCCGAATCGTATTAAGCGAGTCGCTGTCCAGGGTGCAGGGATGCCCTGGGCGCTCAACTATGATTGCAAACAATGTCCACATCACCGCTAGACACTCCAACGTGGTGCTGGTGGCCGAGCTCGGCTCAAGGTTCATTGCACTGCTGCTCGCAAGTTCTCCTCGTAAAACTCCCCCGTACATGTACCTCCTAACCACTATTTTTACCACTGCCCATCCCCCCATCCCCTCCCCTTGTTGGCAAAGCGATCCGTCGGTAGAATAAAGGACGACGGAGACGTCGCCGATCCCGTCGTCGGGCGGAAAAACACGCAGGGCAACAGCAGCCTCCTCCTCTAGCACCCCTGTGCTCTGCAAGACTTCCAGCGTTAGTGCTTCGAATCTGATGCTGCTGCCTTGCAGTGCTTCTCTCAACGGTGTCAGCGCGGGCTGACTCATGCTAAACTGGCACTGGCTCGGGAAACTTCTGGCAATGGACCCGTGGGTCCTCACACTGTCTGCCGTGCTCATGTCCGAAGTCTGCGATGCAAATGTCGAAGGAGACCGTCGATACCCCGATGTCTGCCCCCTAGCTTCGCCATCGTCTCCGCATTGCGCAGGAAAGCCCGCGCTCTGGTCAACAGGCTGCCTGGTATAGGTGTTGCAGGAAAAGGCTGGAGCTCCTAATGAGGTGTTATCCCCAGACTGTTGTCAAATTATTTGACCGGATCTAGTCAGAAAATCCTTGCCCCCCAAGATTGAAACCTGATGCGGCACATCCCTACCTATTTCAGTGTTGCATTCTAAAGGAGACGCTTGTTCTAACTGTTTGGCCCAGCTCACCTGCTTACCCCTCAGGCGCCGCCTTTGCCCCCCACCTTGAGGACCTTGGTCGCAGGGCTGCGCGGCTGCGGCGAGTCCGTTGCTGCCGTTGCCCTCGTCGCCCTTGCCGTCGCCCCCCTCGTAGCCGTCGACTTCGATGCCGTCGAGGCCGTCGCTGAGCTGCTCGCGGCCGTTGGTGCGCTGCTCGCTGCTCGCTGCTCTGCACAGGCTTGGTCTATCTTCTCCATCTCCTTGTGTACCTGGGAGTCCGTCATGTCGCCATCCTGCGACGTCACCAGAACAGGCTCCTCCTTGGGCTCGATCTTCGTCACGCTCTCCTTCGGCGCCATTGCCGTCAAGTAAGGGTCCTCCGGAGCACCCCCTGCCCACGGCTCCGTAGGTGAAATTGGCCACGGCGCTTGTGGCATCTCGATCTCCTCCCTCTTGTGCTCCTCCCTCGGCGTGGCCACGGGCTCCGTCGGCGCGAGGAGCTTCTCCTTGCGCGCCGATCTCCACGCAGGCGGTGTGCCTTGCGCTGGTGCGAAGGACTGAGGTGAGGCTGGTGTCTTCGGCATTGCAATCGGCGTCGAACAGCCTCCCACTGGCGTTTTGCCTTCTGGTGTACGCGGCGCTGGTGAGTCCGCTGGAGGGGCCGCCGTCTCCCCAGCGGCCGTAGTAAACCCCACGGCCTGCTGCTGCCTGTGGTGGTTCTGCTGCTGGCCCGAGGCAGTGTTGATCCACGAGACTAGGTTCGACATGATCTCCTCTTGCCTCGCTTGCCTCTGGTCCATCATGCGCAGAAATTGTAGTAAACCTGGATCGTGCATCTGCGGGCCCATCTGGCACTGCTGCTGCGGCGGTGCTGTCTGGCCCTGCTGCTGACTCTTCATCTGTTGGTCCATCATCTGCTGCTTCTTGTCCATCATCTGCTGATCGGTCTGCTGGCAATTCGTCTGGTCCATCTGGCCCATCTGCTGGCCCATCTGACCATGCTGATGCTGCTGATGCTGCTGACCGATCACGTTCCGTTGTCCACCAGCCGCTCCGAACTGAGGTAGGTGTGTCTGAATGTAGGGCGGCTGTTGATGCGCAACATACTGGTTCATCGGCTGCTGCTGCTGCTGCTGCTGTGGATGCTGCGCTCCAGCAAATCCCCAAGCATACTGCGGCTGCGGCCCGTAGGGGCCAACACCTGCGACTGTGGCCTGGGGCTGGGCCGAGGACGCCATGTGCAGGTCGTCCATCGGCGGTTCGTCTGGCATCTGCTCCAGCTCGTTCATGCAGCTCTGAAGCTGCTGGATCTCCAGCTCGATCTCCTTCTCCTGCTCGGATAAGTCCTTGAGCCGCGATACCGTATTGTTGAGACGGTCCTTGGCTCGATCTAGTCTGCCTCTGACCTCGTCGCGCTGCTTCCTCACGGGCACTAGGGAGGCCAGGCAGGTCTTCATCACCATCAGCTCCATGTCGTGCTCGTTCGCCGTGTCCGTCTTGCCCGCCCTGCGAGCGTAGATCGCCATGCTCGCGACGTTGAGCAGCTGGTCCTCCAGCTCCTGCTTCCACGCTGGAATCTCCTGCTGCCTTGACGGTGTCGGACGAAAGGCTGAGTGATTCGTCACCGCACGATGTGGCATGGGCGGTAACTTCTGAATGTAGTTCCTGATGTGCTGCTGCTCTCGCTGTCGTTCTCTCACTGCGCTCTGGCTCCTCGCCCTTGCTCCTGCTCTGGGATTGTCGGTCCAGGCTTGGCCGCAAAGACAGTGACGATGCCAGTTGTTGACCATCTTCCCACATTTGCCACATTGCCACTTGTTGTTCATCTGCGTTCGATCTTGAACCTGGGCACTGTGATGCTGGGAAAGAAGCCGATATGATCGGTCTAGCGCCACAAGCAGCCGTGCTTGATGACGCTTGGCGCGCTCGCGCCGATGCCGAGCTGGCTCGGTGTCGCGCGAGAACAAGAGAGAAGAAATGACTGATATCGCGGTGCCTTGCTAGGCGCGCGCGTGGGGCTAGGCCTGCAGAGGAAAGTAAAAAGGATCACAGGTTGCAGTATCGGTTCTGTCCTGCGGGTGGTTTAGGCCAAACCCTCTCCTCCTCCTCCTCCTCCTCCTCCTCCTGTTCCTCCTCCTCCTCCTCCGCCTCCTCCTCCTCCTCCTCCTCCTCCCCCTCCCCCGCCCCAGGGCGGGGGGGCCGGTGCGCTGGTGCGGCACGCACGCGGCGCCCTGGGGAACTGAAGGCCGCGCTCCCTCGTCGTCACGTTTGCGATGCCGTTACGGTGGCCCACCTGGTACGCCGCCAGGGGTCGGGCGGTGTCGCGGGTCCCCCGTGGTGGGGGGGGCTCATTGGTGGATCCTCACCCACCCTTTCCACGGTCACGGTCCCCCGCCGTGGCGTGCGTGGGGATGAACGGTCGCCCGAGGGAGTGGTGCCCCTCGGGTGGCTTATCGGGGCGGCATGGATATGGTGCTGTGTCGTATGTATGCGGCTCGAAAATTGCCAAGATCTGAGGGTGACGCCAGGAAGGCGTCGTGAGTGAGGGAGGTGACTGTTCGCGTGGTTTCCGTTGCCTGCTTGCAGCTCGCCCTGCGTCCCTCTTCTGCCCCCTCTCCCAGGCTGCGTCTGTGTTAGTCATGATGCTGACTAGGTACACGTCACTGAAATATGGCACCTCCCATTGGGGGGCAGGTTGTGACGCTGGCGTGCTTCTTGTGCAGACGCATAGTAGGTAGAGGGCAGGGCCGTGCTAAGACGCATTGTAAGCCCCCTCTCATAGAACGATTGCGCACTTGTCATGCCGATCTCCTGCCGATATCCTCCCCCCCTGCTCCTCCTCCTCCTCCTCCCTCCTCCTCCTCCTCCTCCTCCTCCTCCTCCTGCTCCTCCTCCTCCTCCTCCTCCTCCTCCTCCTCCTCCTCCTCCTCCTCCTCCTCCCGCTGGGCGCCGCACTTCCTCCTCGCCCCGGTGCGGTCCTCGATGATGTCCTCGGGAGCACGCCCAGTCCCCCCCCCGCCTCGCCCGCCGCCCACTCCTAAGAGGAGGCAGCAGCAGGGGCGCGGGGAGGGGAAAGATTGGAGGCACACGGACGGACGGAGGAGGGCGAAAGGAAAGGCCTACCAGCCTTGGTGGCGCGCAAAAGGGGCTGGGGGAGGGGCGAAGGCATACTGGGAGGAGAGAGGAGGCTGCTTGTCAAAGGCGCCGGCCCCACGTGTGCAGACAAGGCCCACGCCTTCTAAGAAGCAGGGGTGCTTCTGAGAAGCCTTTCCCCCCCCTAACCCTCCTCTGCGCATGACCGAGAAGGGGCGGGGCGCTTGGGAAGACAAAAGGTACCGATACCGCTACTCCCCGGACCTCTCCCAGGGTGCGTTCTGACCAGGATTTTGAAGCGATTCCAGCGGTGGCGATGAGGGCCTCCCAGTAGGCCCAAAAAGACGAAAAACAGAGAAAGGTAGCTGTATCTGTACCTTTTTCTCCTCTGAGAAAGAAGTCCTGCCTGGTCATCACCCCCCTCTGAGCGTGACCGAGGGGAGGGGAGGAGAGGGGAGGGGAGGGAGGTACACGGACGGACGGAGGGGGGCGGAAGGGGAAGGCCGACCAGCCACAACCCCAGGCCTCCCCGCGTCGTGGCAAAAGTCGTTGCATGAGCACCCGATGCATAAGATGGCCGAGGATGGATCCGCATAGTTGACCTCCACATATGGTAGGTTCGTGCGTCGTTGGCACGCGCAACAGATTTTGGACACCGCGTCGATCGTTCAACCTTGAATCGATCGCGGCCCCGATCGTTCAAGGTTGACTTCCGTCGGGTGTAGTGGCGTCGCCGTGTCCCTGGGTGCTTCCGCGTCGCAGAAGTCAACCTTGAACGCCTTCGCCGGCATCGCCGGCACGCCAACGCAGCTGCCGTACCTCCAAGAGGCCCCGAAACGGCCCCCAGGCGGCTCCGAGTGCCATCGGAGCCCCCCGGGAAACCCCCCAAGAGACCAAAGTGCTTCAGATTCCTCGCTTGCTCGATGGGCCGGCTGGAGGCTGGTGGCCCAGCAGCCCCTCGAGGCCCGGAGAGTGGGAGGCGAACGAGGTGGAGGGGGAGCCAGACGGCCCTGTGAGGCCCTCGTGTCCGCGGTGGCGGAGAAGGACGGCGAGAGGAGGTGCAGGGACTAGACTATGAGCGGCGCGCACAGGGGGGTGGGGGGAGGGGGGAAGGCTACTTAGGGTGCTGCTTCTCAGAAGGCGTCGGCCCTACCTCTATAGACAAGGCACGCGCCTTCTAAGAAGCAGGGGTGCTTCTAAGAAGCCTTCCCCCCACCCCCATACCCGCTCCGCGCGTGGCCGAGACTAAGCAAGAGACTGGGGACAAGGGCATAGGATACAACAAGTGCCACAACGACCGCGGCCGCACTGCCGGGAGCGTGCAACAGGCAGCAACGTGCAGAAGATGCGAAGGCTGTCCAGGCTGTGCAGGTCACCATGAGAATGGGCGCCGCAAAATGGCCTCCCGGCAATCCCGTCGCCCTGGCAGCTACCACCCGCCAGCTAAGTCGAGATGCAATACGGCGGCAAAGGCCACCATACCGAGTGTACAAGACCGCGCTGCTCCCTCCACCATGCTCCCTGCTCTTCCTCCTCCATATCGCTGCTCGCTCAGAACTCAGCATTCCTCCTACTCCTCCTCCTCCTCCTCTTCCTCCTCCTCCTCCTCCTCATTCTCCTCGTGCTCCACCTCCTCTTCCGCCTCGTCCTCCTTCTTCTCCTCCTCCTCCTCATCATCATCATCAATAACAATTACAACAGCAACATCATCATCAACAACAACTGCACCAACATCATCATAATCAGCAGCAGCATCATCATCATAATCATCATCATGACCATGACCATGACCATCACCATCACCATCATCATCATCATCATCATCATCATCATCATCATCATCATCATCATCAGGATCATCATCATCAGCATCAGCAGCAGCATCATCAGCAGCAGCATCATCATTCACCTCATCATCCGCATCAGCATCAGCATCAGCATCGTCATCATCACCATCATCAACAACAGCAACATGGTAATCAGCATCATAACCACCACAACCATAATCATCAGCAGCAACAGCATAATCATCATCAGCATCATCATTCGTCGTCATCATCAACATCAGCATCGTTGTCATCATCATCATCCTCATCATCATCATCATCATCATCATCATCAGCATCATCATCATCGTCGCCATCATCAGCATCATCAGCAGCATCATCAACAACAACATCATCAGAATCCTCCTCCTCAAAACAGCACAATCACCAGCATCATCGTCGCCATCATCATCGTCACCACCAGCAGCAGCATCATCAGCATCATCATCAGCATCATCATCGTCGTCATCATCATCATAATCAGCAGCAAAACGGAACTCAAAATCGGCATCATCAGCATCATCGTCGTCGTAGTGGCCATTAGCATCATTATCATCATCAGCAGCATCATCATCAGTATCAGCATCCTCATCAAAAGCGTCATCATCATCAGCATCATCATCATCATCATCATCACAGCCGCCACCGCCGCCGATCCTGATCATAGGCATAATCATCAGAATCATCATCATCAGCATCATCAGCATCCTCATCAGCATCATCATCGTCATGATCATGATCATGACCACGATCATGATCATCACCACCATCATAATAATCATCATTACCATCATCAGCATCAACATCATCATCCACATCGTCATCAGCAACATCAGCATGAGCATCGTCGTCATCATCGACATCATCACCTTGTCGTCGTCGTAGTCGTCATCACCAACAACATCAACACCAACATCAATAGCAGCATCAGCATTATCATCACCACCATCAGCAGCATCAGCATCGTCATCATGATCAGCATCACCATTATCGTCAGCATCATCAGAATCATGATCATCATCATCACCATCAGCATCATCATCATCAGCATCTTCATCGTCCTGTTCCCTCTCCCCCTCCTTATACTTACGCCTTCATCCTCGTTCCTCTCAGTGTGTTATCCTCCTCCTCCCTTGTTCCCCCTCCTGTTCCCTTCCCTCGTTCTGTTCTTCTCATCATCTTAATCCTGATCCTTCTTCCCATCATCGTCATCCTCTGCCTCCGCCTCCGCCTCTATTGCCGCCACCGCCTCCGCCATTACATCCGACTCTGCCTCCTCCCTCTCCTCCTCCTCCTCCTCCTCTGCCACTGGCGCCGCGGGCGCCGCCTCCTCCTCCTCATCCTCCTCCTCCTCCTCTTCCCTCTTATTCTTCTTCATCATCATTAGCAGCAGCATCAGCATCATCATCATCATCAGTATCATCAGCATCAGCATCAGCATCAGCATCAGCATCATCCACCTCCTCCAAATCCTCCTCCTCTTCCTCCTCCTACTCCTCATCCTCCTCATCCTCCTCCTCCCTCCTGGTCCATATCCTCCTCCTCCTCCGCCTCCTCCTCTTCCTCCTCTCATTCTCCTCCTGCTCCTCCTTCTCCTCCTCCTCCTCTTCTTCCTCTGCCTCCTCATCCTCCCCATCCTCCGTCGTCGTCGCCATCGCCGTCGTCGCCGCCGCCGTCGTTGACGCCTCTTTCCCTGGGGAGGGTCGGGGCGGACGAAAGCGGGGGATTAGCAAAGGGCGCGTTTGCGAATCAGTGCATGCGGCTGTTCACGGCGCCTCCTGGCATCGGACTGTCATGCGTCGTCCTCTTTGGGAGAGGAAAACGGGGACGAGGAGGAGGAGAAGCAGCACGGGAATCAACAGCTCCGTCGCTGATGCTTGCCGAAACCAATACAGCATGGCATGAAAAAGAGGAAAGGGAAGACGAGGAGGAGGAGGAAGGGGGGGAAGGGAAAGAGGAGGAGGAGGACTAGACAAATAGATGCGCGGGTGGATGTTTAACAGCGGAATGTGCATTAACAACGTGTCCCAGAGCGATGAACAGCGGGCGCGGCAACGTACATGCAAACAGCGGCGGGAAGCACCGGCAGCAAGCTGGGCGAGACAAGAAGAGCTTCCGCTCGAGCCAGGTGCTCAAACAAGTCCGCTGTGCCCTATTTGGTCTCCCATGCGCAAGCCGCAAAGAAAACCACAACACGAAAATCTAGGACACAACGGGAAATAGACTACTGGCGGAGCACAGGCTAAATGCGCGCTGCCGCTCAGCTGACTCAGCCAGCTGGAATAGCACTCGCTCGAGTGCCCGATTTCCTCGCAGCACTCGCCCGTCAGTGCCCGCAGACCTTGGCGATCTCATGGCTGCTGGGCAGGTCGAATGGTATCATGGTGAGCAGAGCTAAGCTGATCAGGCACCCGAACAATTGTGGTCGGTCGACTTTGCGACACAGTCACACGAGTGGCTTTTTCACTGCTACATGAAGGAACTGTGGTGGGAGTTCGGGTTCTGCTCGTCGCTGAACCTGACCGTGTCGTGGTCATAGTGATAGCTGGCATGACCGCCCCCCATACTGATGATGCGTTCCTGGCTCATGCTGCACTTGTCATGGGGTCGGCACACATGTCCCGAGCATCGCACCAGGGTAGGCGCAGGTCGGGCACCTCCTCCTACAGGGGGGTCTTGGGACAAAAAAATACCCCAAAATTGTCAACTAATATTCAAACAAATCGCCCCCAGACTATTGTTTGACTATTTTTGAATACTCCTCCTGTAGAGGGGCAGGCCCGACTTACTTAAGGGTAGGTACTCGATTGGCTTGGCGCGCAGCTGGAAAGCTCACCACCACAGGTGGCCTGCCATGCCGCTTCCGGCGGGCGGCCGCACCGGCGCACCGAGCCCACGAGCAGGGCGCTGAAGACGGCATGGCTGGGCCCGTGGGCAGGACGCTCGGGCCAAACAGCGGATACCCCTCCTGTATGTTTGAGTGAGGAGGAGGAGGAGGAGGAGGAGGAGGAGGAGGAGGAGAAGGAGGAGGAGGAGGAGGAGGAGAAGGGAGGAGGAGGAGGAGGAGGAGAAGGGGGGAGGAGGGAAAGCACGAGGAGGACGAGGAGGAAAACGAGGAGGAGGAGGATGAAAAGGAGCAGGAGAAGGAAGGAGAGGCGGAGGAGGAGGAGGGGCAGGAGAAGAAGGAGTAGGAGCATCCCCGTACCCGAGGCCCTCTGCTCATCGCGGCCGACCGCGCCGTGCGGTGGGCGCCGGCTGCAGCGACTGCCCGCGGTCGCTGCAGGGCGCGGAGGCCGGCTTCACCCCCACGTCGGCGGAAGCTCCAGAGCCAAAGGGGCAAAGGAAATGTTAGCCGAAGGGTTTCGCGCGTGCGCAATCAGTGATTCACTGCCTGACAACAGCGGCTGAAACGCGCGTGCGTAAAGATAGGCACATTCGAGACAGCACTGCACAGGGACAGGGGGGATCGAAAAGCGCGGGAGAAGAAGGAGTTACCTGTGGCCTCCCTCCTCGATGTCCCGCCATGTTTGCCTACTCCTCCTTTTCCTTTTCCTCATTTTCCTCCTCCTCCTCCTCCTCCTCCTCCTCCTCCTCCTCCCTCCTCCGCCTCCTCCTCCTCCTCCTCTTCCTCCTCCTCCTCCTTTTCCCTCCTCCACCTCCTCCACCTCCTCCTCATCTTCATCCTCATCCTCATCCTCATCCTCCGCCTCCTCCTCCACCCCCACGGCGGCGCCGCCGACGTCCCCCACGAGCGGCGAAAGATCGAGGCTCGAGGTGTGTTTTCTGCACGTTTCTGCTCGTCCTGGGGTACCCTCGTGGCCACGGCACGATTCACCTCCAAAGCCTGGTGGAAAAACTAACCCTGGTTTTTTCGTCGGAGATCAATATCCACAGTGTAAGTGCACCCTCGGGGTCTGGATTCAGAAGCGCGGCCCCGCGGATACGCGGTCGCACGGAAACAATCCGCGCGGGGCATCCGCGAAAAAACGGCCCATATACGCGGGGTCGCGGCCCAGAGCCCGGTCCGAAAGTAATCGGCTACGAACAGATGTTTTTCGCCCACGAGTCCCCCATCCCCGCTCACGACGAGAGAACAACGCACACTCGAACCCACAGGGATGACGAATGGGGAAGGGCCAGGCGGCGAAGGCGTTACAAGCATGGGCGCGGGCTGTCGGACCCCGAGGGGGCTCTCGCTCGAGCGGGGACCCACATCCGACAACGCACGCCCATAGCAGAGGAACAAAAAAACATAAACATTATCTTGTGGCGGCCTCCGCGGATCTCTTGGATCTGAGCTGGACCCCCCTCCCTGGCGCGCGGGGCGCGCCAGAGGCGGCGCCGGATGCGCCGCAGGGGGGCGCCAGCGCGGATCCAAGAAATCCGCGCGCAACGACAAAGGTTTATACTTATGACGCCTTCGAAGAGTTCCACCCCGAGGAACCTACGGTTCGCATAAGTATGGGAAGTGGCTGTCAGCTCATGAGATTGCCACCCCTCGAACAAGCGATCGTCTACAGAATTGGTTCACTCGAAAATCCATTTGTTCGTCGGATGTGGAGAAAGGAGGAAGAGGATATCTATGAGCATTATACGAATTAAACGCATTTCTGCCACGCGGGCGCCTGAATTCTGCCGACTGGTCGCTCGCGCGGACGCGGCGACCAACCGGCGGAAGCGGCGGGAAGGCCACGTCACAGGCCACCGTGGTCTTGGCTCACAGACGCGTCTTCGTCTGCTGGGAGAATCTGCTCAGAGCGGATCTCAGTTGTCCTTCGCATGGCTTTTCTTCAAGATCTTCTTCACCATTCCCACTTGCGGCACGACGCGGTCAAACACCTGCTTGCGGCTGCTCACTTTCAGGCGCTTCTGCAGCTCAGCAAAGTTGTCAGCGCTCGCTGCTCCGCGCGCCCCATCGCGGCCCCGCTTCCCGCAAGCCCCCTGTTTCCTCGCCGCCTGACTGCTCGAGCGGGAATCGCAGCAGCCTTTCGCGGCTGCTCCACGGCCCTTCACCCTATCCATCAGCTGCTGCGCGGCATCGGGAAACTGCTCGACCTCCTCCTCGGCGGTCAAAGCAACTTCCAAGCTCACGAATGGTTCTCCTACAGCTGGCTCCTCACCGCCCCCCCACGACTACAAGGTGACTCTGCCTCCTCGCGTTCTTCCACGTCGCATGGCCGGGCCACGCCTGCGCCCATGTTCCCCCCAGGCGTGCGCGGCGGGATCCCGTCCTCAACGAGCTAGTCGCATCTGTCCTGGGCCCACTCAGCGCGGATCCCGCGGCCCCCCTCGCCGGGGCCCAGAGCCCACCGCTGCTCGATGCCTCGACAAGGGTCTTCGTCTCAAAGTCGGGCCTGCAGCTGAGCAAGCAATTCCTCGGCCCTGCCCGCAGCGAGCGCGGCGCCCCCACGTCTACGCAGCGATCAACTGCGCCGGGGCCGCAGATGTGATCCCAGGGATCTCGCGGGCCCCTTGCTCGAAGCACGCGCAAGCGCCCTCGGTTCGCGCACCCCCCCGCAGCCCCCACGCCAGCTTGCGCCGCGACTCAATCGCGACGCGCATCATGCGATGTGCCACGTCAGAGGCAACGATCTGAAGCACCGCTGCCATCTTGCCCCAGACCCGCGCCGGCATCTGGCCGGCGGCGGCCATCGCAAACCTCAGTAGAGCGACGATGGAAAACACCTGCCCCGCCCCCCTTCACCGCCTCTACGATCTACACGCCGAGCTTCGTCGCCGTCGACGCGGGCGCCGACGACGAAGCCGCGCGCGCGCATCGCAAGCGCACTGGCCCGCGCCGCACCCCCCTGCGAGAACCGGCCTCGGCGACGAACGCGATCCACATTGCCGCCCTCTTGAACGCGCGCCCCGAACCCCCCCGGCGCGCGAGGCAGCCCGGGCGGGGGCGACGGGCGCAGAAAGGAAAAAAAAACCCACGCAGCACCCAAGATGGCGAACAAAATCGAAAACTATTCGGCGGGCCGCGTCGCGGGCGCCGACGCCGAGGGCGCGCGCGTAGATTGCGCCTGCGCGCGAGCGCAGGGCGCATTCTTCCTACAGACGCGACGAGGCGAGGGAGGGGATGGCGAGCATCGCCATCGGCGGAGAATACATCGACCCACATTGCAATCCCCCCACAAACGCGCCCACGGTTCCCCCGCCGCGCACGGCAGCCCAGAGAGCACCATCCACCGGGAGAAAGAACCCCCAACATAATCCAGCCCGCCCAACAAGACAGGGAAAACCATCGGGCACCCAACGCGCGGACGCCAGCGTCGAGGACGTAGACGTAGAATGCCACCCATCGGCAAAAGTCGCACTTGCGCTGCAACCGCGCCGAAACGAAAGAGGAGATTGCGAGCAACGCCGTAGACCGCAAATGACTCGACCTATATTGCACCCCCCTACAGAAACGCCCGAAATTCCTCCGTCGCGCAGGGTTGCCCAGGAAGCAGCAGTCGCCGGAGCAAGAAAAATGAGCGGCGCGGCGACCCATAGCGGCGTGGAATCTAGTCGGCGGGCCACGCCGCCGGCGAGCCCGCCCAACAATAGAAAATAATCGGCGACAGCTGCGATCAGAAATATCGCAGCAAAAGTTCTCTAGAAAGCCAGGGCGGGGAGATGATCGATGGCCTGATGGCGTCTTTCTCTGCGCCCTCCCGCCTGCCCCCAGAACAGCATGCCCGCGCGAAGAGGTCTCTCTGGCCCAGGCTGCAGGGGCACCTCGCGATTCGGAGCTCAACGTGCCATGTCATGATCACCTTGCCAACGAAACCTGAAGGTTGCTGCGCGCGGATCATGTTCTCAGCCAGCTCAGACCAGCGATCGGGCGGCAGTTTCGCCCTGAGCTCAAACACACGGCACATCGAGCCAGTGCATCTGCCCTTCTGATGCACCGCGGGCCTGCCGTTCACCGCAAAGTGCTTGGCCTCGGAGAACTCGCGACCTTCGCCGACGCTGCCCTCGCGCGCGCAGGGGGGGGGGGGGGGGGGACAGACGAAACGCCCTGCCTGTCGACGGGCTCAGCGCCGCCCGCGTTGAACCTGCGGCGCGCCTCATGCGCGACCTCAGGACTCACCCTGAACATGCCAGTTCCTTTGCGCCCAGCTCTGCGCTGCTGCGTCTGGCCACCCGCTCCGAGAACAGGCCCAACGCCCCCCGCCTCGGGGTCTTCGCCCATGTCGCCGCAGTCTGCCCGCGGGCCATCTCCTCGCAGCTCGCGTGCGAAAATCAGACTTTGCACTCCTCGTCTCAGGACTCGCGTAGATTTGGCCGCTGCCCCTGGCCTCGCAGTTGAAGGACACCACGTCGCTGAATGTCAAGACGCGCTCATGGCGGTTCATGCAGAACTGATCGGGGTCGCCAATCCCACGCTCGCTGAAGGTCGCCTCGTCGCCGAAACTCACGGCGCGGATCTTCGCATCAAAAGCCCCCCACGCAGCCCGGGCGCGCCTCGTCTCCCCCCGAGCCGCCAGCGCCACCAGCGCTAAGGCCTCAGAAGCTTCGCCCACGAGAACCCCATGATCTCACCGGCGCAGCGCGCGAGTTTCTTCGCGGCCCGCGGGTTCTCATGCGCGGCGTCATGAAGCGTTTTCTCACAGGCCGCGATCTGCTTTGTCTTGACGCCCAACTTCTCACCCGCCCTCACTCAGTCACTCCGGCAACGCAAGCTTGAAGGAGGGCCGCAGCCCCGGCTTCGAAATCCAAGGGCAGGTCAGCCCCATCCACGAAGCGCCCGCGCGAGCGCTCATTGCCCAGCCGCGCCTTCGCTCCCGCGCGCGCCTCAAGGAACAGCATTTCGGCCAGCCCCTCTAGCCCTCTTCCCCGCGAGGCCCTCCTCCCCCCGCCCCTCAAGCCGCAACCTTTCCTCGCGATCGCACCGCGACCCCCAGCTCCAATCTCGGCTCGGTCGACGCCGCCCCCCCACCCCCACCCCCACCGCCCCCACACACCCCGCCACCCCCACGCGGCACAGCGCTCCCAGGCGCCCCACGCCCACTCCACGCCCAGGCCACGGCAGTCCTCGATCGTTCCCAACACCGTCTCCTCATCTCGCACCCCTCTCTGCATCCCATCAGCGCGAGCGCACACGCACCGTTTCGCGCGATGCCCAACTCCACGACATTTTCTCACCGCGCACAGCTTCTCTGCATCAGGTTGGGGACTCACGGGAAGGCGCTCGAGAACTGGAGTGAACGCAAGGCTCGGCTTCCGAGGCCCGCCGCCCCTCGCGCCGCACACGCGCGAAAGCGACGAATTTTCAGCAAAAAGCAGTTGTCTCTTCCAGGGCGCACGAAGGCGTCTTGATCCTCGCTCTTCCGG